ACTACTCTCGTACTCTCTCTCTCTCTCTCTCTCTCTCTCTCTCTCTCTCTCTCTCTCTCTCTCTCTCTCTCTCTCTCTCTCTCTCTCTCTCTCACAGAGGCTGTGTGCTCCTCCGTGGCGATGACGGCTTGCGTTAAAAAATAATAATACACAGGCTATTTGTAAAGTGGGGGGACACAAATGGGATTTCGAAAAGTGCCACAGTTAAACTCCTTATGAAGTGGTGAGATGCCGCTCCACATTGCTTTTCTTCCCGACTGCAACGCTGTTGTGTGTGTCTGTGAGAGCGTTTCACATGTGTGTATGAGAGATTTTTACCAGTGGCGAGCCGTCAGGGCCCTCTAGGCCCTCTCTGAGGGATATTATACAAAAATATATAGCTTGATTAAATTGTATTTAAAATAACATTTCCAAATAAATAAATCCTTTGAATCTGCCTATTCAGTTTCTGTTTGAATGTGAAGGGTTAAATGAAAGAAGCTTGTCTGCGAGGTGAAGACAGGAGCTGTTGGACGTCCAGCTATGAATTCACAGAGGGCCCACTGTAGTAGTAACTGAACGAGAGAGTAATGTCAAATGACAGTACAATTTACCAATCATATCTTCCCTCTAAATGGGTGGGCTTTATTATCGCGGACTTTATGACAAGACCGCCCCATGGTCCGCTCGCTTAAGACATACAACTGCAACAAAAGTAACAAACACAATGCAATATCCTTTTCAATTTCAAAGAACACAAATTGGGTTATTTACAGGTGTTGTTTTGTGTGGTAGAGGGTCGCTTTCATTGATGCGTTTTGCACCCCGGGCCGTTGTTTTGATATTCCACCAGTGATAAAAAATAAAAATAAAACATTTACATTTTTAATTTTGCAATCCACCTATCACATCTCTGCGCCCCACCAGTGGGGCGCACCCCACACTTTGAGAAACGCTGCTTTAATGCAACAATAATTATAATGAAAATATATCATTATATATTATTCTGAAATTGGCCAATCTGCATAATGAGTCATTTTACTCTCTGTACTTTAAGTATATTGTAATGCTAATACTATTGTACTTTACTTGAGTAACATTTTGAATGCAGGACTTTTACTTGTAACAAAGTATTCTTACTTTTACTCAAGTACGAGATCTGAATACTTCTCCCACCTCTTTATTGATTCACTGAGTCGTAGGTCTCCATTTGGCCTGGCTTAATGGAGACCTAATGACTAATGCTTTGTGAGAGAGGGTGTATAGTGACACTTTTCACTGTCAGTGTGTGTACACACACTCATACTGTACATCTTTATTATCTTTATTGCTTCAGCCCTAAACATGTAGTCTCTACAGTTCTGTGGAAAGGTGCAGGTGTGTGGTGGTGGTCCCACTTATTGACTGACTTTTCATTTTATGGTTAACAGTTCTTTCAAAATGGATTAAACCTTAAATTAGCAGTGAAAAGGTGATATTGACTAAATAGAATATCACAAGGGAGCTATACTAATCATCAGTAAATATTTGCTTATCTCACATATAATGCTATTTCTATGCTACAGCGTATATGTTGACACATCAATAACAAAAATGTAACTTCATTCACACAGCATACAGTAGCACACATTGAAATTGGCTGCAATATGTGATATTAAAAAATAAAATATGGATATGATGCTTATAAGAACACACAAGATAATATCCTTGCTGTATATAATTCAGAGCCTCTGAAATCTTACTAGTACCTTTAGTATAAATTTTGTTTTTGATGCTTTTTTACAGTTCTGATCACAGACTTTCTCTAAACCTCCCTACACTCGTATTTTAAGTGTTATTTGTTAGCCTAAAATACAAATATAAAACAAACAAAGTTAGCATTTGTTAGCATAATAACTGATAAATATACATGAATTCTTGAGGTGACTATATTGTGTGGTGGAAATCTGATTTCATGTCAGCCCTGATGATATGTTGAAGCTAGTATTGTGAACCCAATTGCAGACACCCAAGACACGAGGCAGAGAGCTAATAAGAGGATGGTTTATTTAGCGTTTAGGTCGGTAGTGAGGCCTGCTGGGTCAAGGGGCAGAAGGTGGGGTCCGGTGAGGGGTTGAGCCAGGAATAGAGGTTCTGCTACAAGGCCAAACAGGCAAGAGACCCATGGATGGATAGAGGCTGGAATCAGCTGGTTCCTGCAGGCACATTAGATGCAGAACAGTAGTCAGTCAAACACACATGGGAAAGAGATAAAAAAAGTATGTCTCTGCCCGGACATGATTGTGTGTGGGCTGCGCTAGCAAACGGATACCTGTTTGTGTAATATCCCTCAGTGACTGCACACAGTATTTTGGATTACATTTGAGGCTCTCCAGTTTGCAAATATTCCAGTAGGTGGAGGTAAAAGCTCAGAAACGTTTTACCAGCAGGAGGACCTTTACAGTATGCTCAGCGTGTGATGTGGACATGTGCAGATTCATGTACTCTTTGAAACAAAGAAACCTTCCACTCCCTCCTGCTATGATACTGTGCTGCTGATCCCAAATCAATTAGAACATCATCAACAGTTGTCTCCATTGAACCAATAAGCCCCTTTTAAGCCATTTGAAAGCACATAATCTTGCTTTCCCTATTTTACTTTCTTCATTACGATGTATTAATGATAATTGGTAAAAGATAGTCTGACTGTAACACACAGACACGCTATTCCTGTGATTCTGTGAAGGCAGGGGGCCATTTCTCACAGATGGCTGCTGGAAAACAATAAGGTAGAGAGAGGAAACTTACAAAGAGCTACTTTTAGACTGTTTGCTTTGAAATGTTTCAAATGTATCAAGAAAAAAAGTGTGGCTTAGAACAAAGTCTGTTGACACTTCCTTTATTGGTTACCACTTGTTTGTGTATTTGCACCTTTTCATGTCACACACCACCCAAGGCCAGTTTCTAATGGAATCTAATGGAAGTTTGTAATGGAGTCTGTAGTTTACTGTAAATCTATTTTTGATTTACCTCCAAACCTTTTTGGCTAAGTTTGATACAATGAGTTTGGTCAAACATGTGTTTATTGTCCAAATCTATGTAATAGAAGACTAAATAATGGCTGTGTTTCAGCCAAGGCACTCTGTGTTTTCCATCCATGCCCCAACCAGTTTCCTGTGTGTCGTTTCCCCCTCCTGACTGGCATTGTTAGCCGGTGAAGTTCTTCCCAGAAACTGCACCTTACAAGCTCAAGTCTTTTGACGTCAAAAAAGATTATTCCAACCTCTAAAACCAAGGGACTAAGACGGATTTTGAAGAAGTACCTTCACAGAGAGGCTAACCTGGCTTTTTTTCCCCTCACCTTTGCGAAATTACGGACATCCCATATGCAAGAGGATGAGAAGATGTTTGCAGTTGGAGACTCGTCTGCCTCTACAGTGTTTTTGTACTCAGCTGTAGTAGGTCTCAGCATAGCGTCCTGTCAGGGGGTCTCCTCTGTCTCTTTGTTCAATTAGAGGAAGGAAGGGGAGAAAGTTCTAAACAGAGGTGTATTTTGGACCACTGCTTCCACGAAGGAAGTGAAACTTTAGTGCTAGTTGTTAGTTACTTTTCCTTCATCCTGGTTGCAAACCTAACTTTCGCAACCTGCTGTTTCTACTGAGATCTGTCCTCGGAATCAGACACAACATGGACTGCCTGGCTGGTTACCGGAGGTCCCGTCACAAACATCTTGCCTCGGGTAGGTGACCCTTACAAGCTGGACAACAGTGAGGATGAACACTGTCATTGGTTGAATATAGATATTAGGAAGAGATCTAGGGTTGATATTTTTTTTTTTTCTAAATAAAAGACTGGACTGACTATGAAGCGGCGGCGCAAGTACTGGTTTTGGAGGCGGAAAGGTAAAAACGCAATGATGTGTCTGCTCTGCTGTTATGGTAAGAATTGAATACTCAATTTTTGGCTTTACACTGAAAACTCGAAAATAAAAAACATTAAATGATGGAAAAAATAATAAGAGTTGATGTTTTTCTGCCCATCCTTTCACAAACGTCATCTGTGACTCACCTTTGACCACTGTAGAACATTCCCATGACTTGTTTAAGCCCTTCGGCTCTGTCATCCTTGTTTAACTAGCATTTATATAATCTCTATTTTTCTACCGGCAAGCAGGATCCATTTTCTAATATTATCACCTGGCTGCTCTCCCGCATAGACCATTATTTCCAACTCTGCTGATGTGTTGCTGTTCCCTCTGACTTCAAGTCCTAGGGCTGTTCAAAACAAGGGGAAACTTATCTGAAACGTTTACCACTCTGCAGTATAACTTTGTAATTATTCTATTGATTTTTGAATTGTTTGCAGTCAGAGGGTTTGGTAAATGCAGTTGTTTCAGTGAGTGTGTTGATTCATTGAGTTGCACTCTTCTCCATGTGGACTTCCTGCCGCTATGCAAGGGAGAATTTAAATCCACCCAGCTGGGAAAAAAGTGTTTTGTGCTGGGGGGCCTGGGAACCATTTCCCCCTTTAAGACCCTCTTCTAAACCACTCTGGCCTTTTGGCAATGTCCCTGGTGGCCCATTACCCAACTGCATTATCAGAGCAATGGAAGTGTGAGTGTGTGTGATGTAACGTTGCAACCCTTCGAATGTGCTCCTTTCTTGTATCGGTGTGTATTGCTGGGTGAGTCACCCTTGTATTTAAAAGCAAAGGAGAGGAAACATTGTGAGGTGTTCTGCTTTCATTCTCATTGGCAGGAAGGAAAAGGCTGGGAACACCCGTAGGCCTCAAGTCCTTTCACCCACACTCATTGTTCCAACGTGGAAGAGGGTGTCACAAATACTGTAACACAAATTTGTGCAAATACATACTCATTAATTAGGTTGATTTATGGTCAATTGTGTAAATGTTTTACTCTGAGTGATTGTGCAAATAGTTCTAATCATAGCAATTACTGTGTTAACGTCTTAACGTTATATAAGCCTGTCTGCACAGAAGAGATGTATGACTTGCTGGAATTAAGTCTTAGCCTCCCACGTTGCCTGTTGTCAGTCAGATCAGGGCACTTGTTAGCCCAGTCTGCTGAAATGCGATTGCTGTGTTAGAGTTAAATGATGTATAGGGGAATGTAATCAATCCTGTTAGCCAGGACGTGATTTGTAAAGCCTGCACAGAATATGAATCCAAGCCGGTGAAGTAGGTGGGTACTTGCAGGTGATAGCAGTCTATATGCATACAGTAGCTTCACACAGCACTTACAGTATTTTATTATTTTAGCAGTACACCATTTTAAAGGGGACCTTTTTATGATAATTTTCAGGTCTCATAATTGTATCTGTATTTTCCTATTTTGCTTGTCATAAGGCGGCAGGATAAAAGCAATGCAAATATATAAAAGTACACAGTGCAGAAAACATCAACAAGAAGGAAGAGCTGAATGTCACTCAATTGTCCCCCCAGTCTCATTTGCATTCAAGATGGAGGCATAGATAACAAAAACATGGATTTATTAATATATAGAATAGAAAAGAATGGGAGGGATAAAACCCTCTTTAATGGTCACACATGCAGGGCACACAGCACATACAGTGAAATTTGGCCTGATATCATGTTGTGCATGGTTTAAATTGGCCCTATTTTGCTATTGTCAGGTTTCATATTTATATTTTGTGCCACATGTTTTCATTCTTTAATGTTCGAAAAGGTATTTTATTTTTCTCATACTGCCTGTACTGCAGCACCTCTTTTCACCCTCTGTCTGAAACCAGAGCCCAGTCTGCTCTGATTGGTTAGCTGACCGGCTCTGTTGTTTGGTCAACAGAGAGGACAGAGAATTTAGAGATGTCCCGTCCCTTAGCCACGTTAAATGTGTTGGAGCACCGGCCTAAAGAGGCGTGGGTGTTAGTGATGTCACTATGTCATGGAAGTGAACAAAGGAGTCCAATGGAGGTGTTTCATCAATAGATAATAGTCACAATCTACATGATTGCGATGAAACTTGACTTGATAAACTGGCCTCTTTTAGTGACAGCCATACAGTATTAAATCAACAAACATGCTATGTTGTTGAAATCGTTCTTGTGTGTGTACTATGCCCCTCACGCACTAACACACTGTCCCTGATTCACTCCCAAACATGGGAATAATGAAGTACTTATCACTCTCAGTGATCCCTCTAAACTCTTATTGTTAATTCAGGGTGGATTATGGTGGGATTTATTATATGTGTTTACCGCGAGGAGAGATGAGAAGGATAAGGTGGATAATGAGAGCAGCCGAGCGTCTCCTGAACTAATTGTTTAATAATTTTGGTGTCTAGATATTGTGTGTCTGGCATCATTATCCATCTCGCATCTCTGGGCCGAACGCTGCACAGTCAGTGATGATTTTGGCAGGTTGTTGTTTGACAGCAGGGATAGCATGATGTGCGTGTGTTTGCCAGAGAGTATATGGGAACCAATCCAAGGTGGGTTGTTCCTATGAAGCTGGGGGGCCAGATGTCGACCCGGTGCCTGTTCTGTCCTCACGACTGATGTGCCCCGCTGCTGTAGAGACGTGGATTCGGCGTGCGTGTGTGTGTGTGTGTGTGTGTGTGTGTGTGTGTGTGTGTGTGTGTGTGTGTGTGTGTGTGCAGACAACACCCGTCATTCATCATTGACCTTCATAATGTGCGTGGTACAACGGGAGGAGGGGGGGGAGTCAATGAAAACAGCAAGGGCTCAAATGGAGTGTGTGCATGCCAAATGTGTGTGTGTTTTAAGGGACGTGGGTTTAATGAATGATGTGGGAGGCCCGGGGTTCTATGCTTATAGAGATGTGGTGGCTAATGGCGTGGAGCCATGCTGCTCTCCTCCACTCTCAGGCCAAAGAGGGGAGAAAGAGATGGATGGTGGAGGGAGAGTTGAAGGAGGAAGAGAAGGGGGGGGGGGTGCGAGGGCAGTGGGAAATGCCAGCTGCAGTGCTAAGAAGGTAGAGAAAAGTGTGAGGTGGGCAGAGTGTGAGCGAGTGGGAGGAAAGTAGTGAGGCAAAATTAAGGAAAAGACAGAGGCAAATATATGCACATATATTATTATTTTCTTTCACGCTTGAAAATGGTGTCAAAAAAGTCTGCAATGCATTAAGATACAGTTTAAAAGCAGACCGAATCAAATCAAATTCAAACCCTTAAAGCTCAACATGAACTGGACTGAATGTGTTTCTTCTTTTTCAAACACTTTTGACAACGCTAAGGAAAAATAATATAGAAAAAGTTTAAATGTTTTGACAGGTTGGATGTCAAAAAAGTTGATTTGCTCTCAATTCTGCAGAGCTGCACAGGAAGAAATAGTTTATCCAGGGGAAAGTCTTGAATATCGTTTAAACACAATGAGCATGTTAATGTTCCTCTGTGGCTGCTATCTATAATTATTACAGATATATTTGTCATATCATCTTAAATTTGTCGATAATTTGTTGTGTTTACGGCTTGTTCAACTGCAAAAAGGGACAACAAATGTTTACATGAGTTTGAGATTTGTTTTAGCAATACTGTTTGGACTAAATGATGCATATCTCCTAAATGTTTCCTTTATTGTGCTCTTTATCATTTTATGTAGGGTAATCTGACTACCATCATCATAAATCTGATAGGAATCATTTTTCTAAATTGAACAGGGATCACAATAAAAATAGGTTTAATCCCTTTCCAGGAAAAGCAAACAGTCCCAAACATGTTCTAACTCAAATAAATATATTGTCTGGAGGCTTTAATCTCATTTTCCAAATCTCCTCAGATCAGGAACGAGGTTATAGATTTATTTGGGTATCCTATCAATTATTTATTCTAAGTTAGAATTATTCGACACAAGTTTCAATTAAAGAGAACATCTTTTACTTGAATTGTACTTTAATAAACCTCTGTTAAACATCCACACTGTCAGAGGTGCGAGGATATCTGCATGTCGGTTAGAGCTTCAGTGCAAAGAGGAGATTTTGATTCTGGCAGATATAAGGTTGACAAAAAAATCCACCATGGCGGTCCTACATGATGTTCTTCATTACTTTTGAATCTGAAAGCCAACAAAGGAGGTTTCAACTCAATTCAGAGTGTGTGCACGTGTGTGGAGATCCAGTTGGAGCTGATGTTCACACTGTGTGTGACAACAGATTGATCTGTGGTTGCAGAGTGAAGAAGGGCTTATCTGCCACCGTGCAGCGTCGTATGCATTAAGTGTTTGATTGCGTTTCTCAAAGCAAGCCGTGTGTGTTTATGAGCTAGTGTCGGTTTAATTGCCTTGCATACATTTCTTTGCCTTCTCGTGTGTGAGGTGTTTACGCTCTAACCTAATGTAAAATAAATCTATGGATTTGTGGGCTGTCTTCATGAAAGTGTACCTGCATGACGGTAATTCCCTTATGAATATATAAGCCCGTTTACATCAAATTGCATATTGAGAATACCAAAGCAGGTCCATTACTCACTGTCTGAAATCCAATACTTCACCATGGAAACAATAGGCCATCCTGCCTATAATAATCAATGAATATGTTGGCTCATAAGAGGTATGATTTGCTAACATAATGTTTAAATACTCACCACACCCCACATGCCGGACATTCTTCTGAAAGACATTTCCTGGTTAAATAGTGTTCAGTTATTTACAGCCAGAGTGTTTCTGTAATGTTACAATATATTTCTGTGCTGTTCGTGACATTAATTTATTTTTAGATAAATGCAACATATGACTTTCCTATACAACCCAATTCATGCTGAACATTGCGGAGTCATGTATAGCATTTATTCTCAACAGTCTCACTAATAAAACACAAATCCTGTAACGTTTTTAACTCAATTGGCTAATAGGCTGAAAGCTGACGGGGCGTTCATTACAGGATAAACATTAAAATTAGTTAATTATAGTGT